ATGAGGCTGGGTGGCTCCCAAGTGTCCCTGGACAGAATGACAGAACTGAGCCTGAAAGGATGGGACTGCAGGCAGCTCATCACCAGGAGGGTTTACAGAGGGGTGGTTATCACCATGGGCCTCTGAACTTTCGTTTGGACTCAGTCTCTCAGCGTGAAGCAGCCAAGCCCCACGGCTGCTTACCTAGAAGGGGCAGGTTCCTACCTTGGAGCTAGTGCAGTTGGGGAGCTATGTCAAATGACATCCATCAGAGCCAAGTTGTCATTCGGGACAAGCACACTGGACTCTCTCATGTGGAATAAATTAGCTTGACCTTTAGGAGAAAAGGGAAATATGTCACCTTCCTAACGCAACCAATAGGCAGGTGGCCACTGTTATGAAGAATAACTTCACCGTAGCGGTTTCCTCAGAGGTAGAGAAGAGTCCTTCAAAAGAGCTGGGAATAAAAAATTGAGGTCCAAGCAAAGGCACAGAGGACACAGCTTAATTTCCACCAGGCTTCCACAATGCTCTCACAATGTCATTTTCTTGGGGTCTAATTTATCTCCTTTCCTTCCAACCTTGTGTGGATATCTAATTAGTTTAGAAACAGAGCCAGGGTCTTTGTGTCATTAAATTGGAGTTGGCAGGACGGCCAAAAGTGCTTCATAGTTTGAGCCATTTTAGGGGGGGAAATGCTAAGGGATAGGCTTGTTTCTAAGCAAGTGTCCAGGACAGCATCCTTAGTGGGCCTTCATGGGAATGATGATGAGAAGGGGGGATGTCAAATCCAGGGAAACATTTTACCCACAACCCTACCCTTAAACAGGCAGCATCCTTGAGAGAGAACAGATTGTGACCCAACCCTGGTCACAATCCTCAATCTTGTTTCCAGACAATCTCTCCAGATTAGGGGACATTTGTTGCCACTGACCTGGGCAATGCTTAGCTGGTATCAGACAAATAGAAAGGACTAGAAAGGAGACTGCCCCAACTGGCCTCAAGGCTGGTGACGGTTCAGTCAGCCTACACAGCCTGAGGCCTTGCTGGTTCCCTAGGTGTGGCCTTATAGCATCTTGGAGTGAGGGGGTGGGGGGCTCGGACTCCTGGAGAGATCCGTCTGGCCCGATGAGCGGGCCCACAAAGGCTGCCAGCTGTCAGGATGGGGGTTAAAGTCCGTGGGAACAGGAGGAGAACGTCCTTCGGCCTACACAAGCCCACCAGGCGCATCTCTTCCACGAAACCTTTGACCACTGCCACCCCCATTGATCTGTCCCTCCTTTGAACTCCTAATGGAAATTTTGTTTGAACACTTATGGGGTCTCAGAGCTGAGAGGATGTTACTTACAGATCATCCAGGGCACTGAAGGTTGGGATGAGAGCATTTCACAGACAAGGAAAGTGATGCTTAGTAAGGCGTGATGACTTTCTGACCAGTTTGTGCCAGAGGCGGACTTAGAACCCAGGCTTCCTGACCCCTCTTCGTCACATAGCATATACTGCCAAGCATCATCAGTATGCCTCATCTCCTGCTTTGTGTCCTGTACGGGGGGGCTCTGAGGAGCAAAGGAAGCCCCTAGAGGCCTGAGGTGAAAGGCTAATGTAATGAGTGCTCCATTCTCAGAGTGGCAAAGGGAATGCCAGAAGCTCAATGCCTCTGCGTTGTAGCAGCCTTAGTCACTGCCTTACTCACGTGATGCCCCGAGAAAAAGCTCATTTCCCTCTTCGCCCTGGTCTTCTAGGGGCCTCCTGTCCCAGTGTGGCTGCCTGCAGCCAGTCCTGTCTTCGTGCCAGGCTTACTCTTGGATCTATAGTCTCGGAAGGCACGGGTTCCTCCCCCACCTCTCAGTCAGGCGGTGGGAGGAAATTCCCACCCTCTAGGTCTGGTTTGTTTCCTTTCCTGGATTTTGTGGATTATCTCCTCTCACTAAAGAAGAAACATCTGCCCCAGGCTTCTTTTCTAGAAGAAAAAAGATTAACTAGTTTAATGCAAATGAATGCAGTTATAATAGCCAATCCTCATTAGTCCTACAATGTGCCAAGTACTGTTAAAAAGACTTTACATATATTACTTTATTCTCCCCAAACCTATGAGGAGGATGTGAACTTGCCCAAGGTCATATGTTCAGTAAATGGCAGAGTTGAAATCTAAATCCAGACTGCATTGTTCCAGAACCTAGTGAGGTACACATGATTTAACACTGCCTTGTAACACAATGCACAATGCAATGTGAGAATACACATGCATTTTCATATGATAGGACCCAAAGCTGTTGGTTTCTCCATTCCAAAAGGCTATTGGGATATTTTAGTTCTTTTCTTAAATAAGGGCCTAAAGATCCACCCTGGCGCTTCTGAGTGTATACTAGGAGGGACACAAAAAAAACATGGATTATCTTCTGGAGGGTGGGCCCTTTGTAGCACAGGCTTCCCGGGCTAGGTGAGTGTTCTATGAACCCGTCTGTATTGGTGTACCAGCTGGCGTTGTTGTGAGAGGCTGCATTTGGCCGCCATGAAATATTTTTGAAAGACTCTTTCAACGACTTAGCCCATTTCATGATGGGTGATTTATGAGCACACCTGCCCACATGGCACTGATTGTTCGGCAGTTTTTGACCAAAAATGGGGTGACCCCCATGCCCCACCCTCCCTAATCACCCAATCCCGCCCCAAACGACATTTTTTTCCTCTGGATGAAAAAAGTTCTCAAAGGGAATGTTTTTCTGATGTGGAAGAGGTAAAACAAAAAACAGCAGAAGCACTAAAAAGAATCAAAACTGACAAGTTCAAAAACTATTTTGAGCAGTGGGAAAAAAAATCTCGATAGGTGTATTGCATCAAATGGAAAGTACTTTGAAGATGACTGGAGTTTAAACATTTAAGAATAAATACACAACGTTTTATAAATAAGTTCTGGGTGTTTGGGGGGGTCCCCCTTGTACTTCTGAGTCTGGTATCATGGATCTGGTAAAGAGTTTGCACTAACATTTTCTGAGCACTTGCTAGTGTGTCAGGCACTGTGCTTAGCACTTTACAGAGATTGTTTTATATACTCTTAACCACAATTTTATGAAGGAAATCCTATGTAATTACCCCCATTTTATGGATAGGGAAACTGGTGCTTAGAGGAGCAAAGTAACTTGGTCCAAGCATCCATACTCTAATGTCAGCATCCAGGCTCTGAGTACTGCCATTGCATCTACGTCTTCTGGAGTGGCAGGCTGAGAGGCACCATTAACTTGATGGCTCTAAGGAGGGGAGGAACGATCCCATAAGTTCAAGACCACCGTAAGATGTCTGTTTCTCAGCAATTCGCTGATTTGCCACATGCACCTTCTTGGATGATTACCCAGCAGAGAGGAGTGATGAAGTTCATCACGGATTGCACCCATGGCTGCAGCAGAAGTCAGCCAGCGGCTTTTAGCTATGGCTGTCACCTTGGACCACATCTCAAGCCAAGAAGAGAGAAGCGATTCAGTGGGAATGGGGAAGGCCCAAGAGTAATTCCCTTTTGGGGATGATTCATTGCAGGTGGGCCGAGGGGAAGCAGTGATGCAGGGAGGCACGATAATGTGAGGGGTAAGGGTAAGGATTCTGGAGCCAGGCTCCTTGGGTTGTAAATCGCAGATCTGCTGCTTACTACTTGTATGGCTTCGGGAAAATTACTTAATCTCTCTATGCCTCAGGGTCCTAATTTATAAAATGGGAACAGTAATTGCATCTACCTCAAATGATAAATGGATATTGTATTTATAAAGCTCTTAAAATATTATGTGGTACATAGTAAGTGTTATGTGTTTGTTAAATAAGGATAGGTAACAGACCACATCTTAATTTGAAACTTTATACCCTATCTTATCTTCGATGTTGTTGTGGTAGAGGTGGGATGCCTTTTTTTTTTTTTTGAAGATTAAGTCTCTGTCAAAAATGCATTTCTTATTTTAGGGTACAGGGTTGAAGGACAAGATGATACAACTAAAGAAAATTTAAAAGAAAAAACTTGGCAAAAGTTTTTCAATTAAAGTATTGCAACATTCAAACTTGACTTAAAGCATAACAATATTGCAAACAAAAATGTCTATGGATTTTCCAAACATGGATAAATGAAACAGTGTTTAGGCAGTAGGACTCATGCTGATGGCTACTTGGAAAAATCATTAATGTACAAACAAGCCCAAATAAGGGACTGCAGCAGTTTAATCATCACTGCCATTTTGTTCTACTTCCAAAATAGAGGCCTGATTAAAGCATTCATACCCCATATTACTCCTACCTTTACTCCAGAGGTTGAGGGACTATATACAACCAATGAATTTATTTTCACCATACAGATAACATATTGTACCTCTCTGCCATTGTTATTTAAAAACTTTCTGTATCAAAATAATTTGACAACAGATACAAACAATTCAATAAATATGCAATGATCTTTCATTGCAGTCCTCTAAAGATGTATGTTAATTCATGCTGTTAACCTTAGAATCACAGTTCATGGGATCCAAATAGAAATGAGTTGGGGTGACTTTCAAAGTAATGTTGGATCCGTCGCTTATTTAGAATCCCACTACAACTGGTAAGTTCATTTCATAGGCCCTTTCATGCATTAATCATTGGGTGGCAGGAGTTAATGAAAATTTTTCCTGTTTCAACGTCCATTGCCGGTAATGAACGCCCTCCCACCCCCCAAGCCTCCAAGGAAGTCATTGTTATTGCACAATACATGAGGACCTGGAACTTTTCCAAAAGCTTAAAAAAATAAAAATAAAAAATGGAATTATATTTGACATTTCCTGACACCTACATTAATACTGTGTGACTAATAAAAGCATGTCAGCTGTCTGGACTGAACCAGCGATCAGCAAGTGCCCAGAATGCACACAAGTAAAAATGCAGTAAAAGGAAGTAGTCTTCATTGCCTATAGATCACTTCCAGTCAAAGGTTAAAGTTCAAAGGCTGAATGATCAAAGAGTTCATTCTCTCAGTAGGACTATCTTCTCTTAGGAGGATGACAATAGTGACATCAACAAGTATCATCACTATACCACCTTGTTGTTTTCTTTGGATTCTTGTTCCATGTTTGTACATAAAAAGAATGATCTGTTGGCCATCTCTTTTCTGTGCAGACAGAAAGCATGCTATTAATGCTAAGATGAACTGATTGGACTGAGAGCACTGGGGACCCATCTTCTGTTAGAATGAATAAACAGATATGACCAGCGTTATAACCATGAGGAGGAATGGGGACATTTTTACCAGTAAACATGACCTGAGGAGAGTCAAAAGGATATTGACTACTAAACCTAAATAGAAGTTGAAATTTTTCACCTTCATATAAGGTACTTGGTGCGCCTTCCATGTCTACAACCCACTGTGTAATTGAATTTTGAATAATCTTTTCATTTAAAGTCACCCCAGGAGGTGGGCTATTTTCTGAAGCCAACAGTTCTTTCTGCAGTCATTACTGCATTGCCACCTTGATGGAACCACCCCTCCACGACTGGCGAGGCCAGAGCCGAGGTGGGGTGCTTTTGACAGGAATGCAGAGTGCGGGTGGGGCGGAGTAAACTGTGTGGCAATAAAGCAGAGGAGTTTGGAAAGGACAAGCTTTCCCTGACGGGTTCATCCCTCAAGTCATATTCTAAGCACCTAGGCAGTTGAATGACTCCAACGTTCTTTACACTCTTACAGCTTCTATCCTGGTTTATAGTCCCACATTCAAATTCACCTCGAAGGCTGCAGCTCTTCTAAATGGCCTCATCTCCATCCCCTGCTGTCTCCAACAGGTGCCAAACGCAGCTTCCCAACAGCCTTCCAGGGTACACACTGCTCCAGTGCTTACAAACCTTTGACAACCTGTCTCTGCCCTCATTATAAGCACCACGACCTAAAATTCAGGCTCTGCACAATCTGTTCTCAGGTGACATTTCTAAACCTGTTTCCCTCCATTTCCCTGTTGGCAGACTATTAACTAGCTAATAGACTAATAGTCAGATTACTAGCCACCATTTCCCCAGGGGTCTCTTCCATGTTCCCATGTTTGACCTTTTCCTCATTTACATATGTCTAAATCCTGCCTCACCGTCAAGATTGACTCAAACACTCCTGACCCCTCCGGCCAGAACAGGTTTCCCCCTTCCTTTGAATCCCACGCCACTTTGTAGCTTGCCTTCCATATTTATCACATCCTGGTCTTATAGTTAATCATGAAGATACAGTATCTTCTCTCCTGAAATAATGTAACCTCTTTAGGGGAGGGGGTGTCTAATACCATATTTTGCTGTGTATAATGTGCACTTTTTTGCCCAAATTTTTGAAGGAAAAATAAAGGTACACATTATAAATAGGTATAATATCTACATGCCAAAGGTATAATAATCCCATGTATAATGCACAAAAAAATGTGAGTGTGTGTTACACACGGCAAAATACAGTACATATTTATATCTACTACAGGGACTAGAAGTGTTCCTCACATATGGTAGGCGCTGAAGAGTTATTTCCTGGATGGATGGATGGGTGGGTGGATGAACAGACAGGTAAGCCTTCTTCATGCTGAAAATGTTTCCATGGGGAGCCCTCTCTCTTTACTTTTTCAGAGGACACTTAAGCCCTAGGAACTGCACTTGGTCATGAAGTAAGGGTGATACCGGGGCTCGGAAGTCTCAGTTTCGCTCGCCTCGGCACGTGTTAGGTGGCCTGCAAATTTCAAGATGGGGCCCTGGGGACAGAGAAGTGAAGGAGTTAATGCTTAAGTCCAAGACATAAAGGAAACCCCTCTTTCCTGGTCAATATTCAAAACTTTACCAGGATGTTCATGATAATGTGAACTGTCCATTGCCATTAGAAAGTAGCCAATAGGTACCCCCGAACTGAAATTATTTACTAATTACTGAGGGCACAGAGTTTAGAATTCACAGTTGGAAGAGAAGAAAGAAGGTACTTTTATTAAATACCAACCCATTAAAATAAGTCATCTGTCCACAAAAGACCCTTGTGAAATAGGCATTATTTTTCCTATTTTACAGATAAGAAAACTTAGAAAGGTAAAGTAACTAGTCCAAGATCTCATAGTTACAAGTGCCAAAGCCTGGGTTTAAACTCAAGTCTGACATCCAAATCCCTGTTCTTTTCACAAAGCAGTAATGTCATACTCTTTGTTAACTGTCATTGCAGTCTCACCCAAGTTAGAGCATGTGAGTTCTGTCCAGAAGGTATCCAGCCATTTCATATGAAAAATAGAGGCATTTACTGAAGAAGATACAAGATACAAGAAACATTGTACACAGGGCAATGACACCTCAGTCCCCTTCAAAGTAGGCACCTTGGGGCCTCACACAGTTCTTCCAATCACCATCTGTTGCCCCATCATATTTTCCCGAATCTTATCGATGGTCTGAAATCTCTTCCCTTTCAAAGATGATTTTAGTTTTGGGAAAAATCAGAAGTCACAGGGCACCAAATCTTGGCTATAGGGGAGCTGAGTTACCTGGGTGATTTGGCGTTTCACCAAAAACTCTTCATGAGACATGATGAGTGAGTGGGCATGTTGTCGTGATGAAGCTGCCAATTACCAGTTGCCCATAGCTGAGGACTTCTGGATTATCTAAATAGTTTACATGGAGGAATGTTCAGGTTTAATGCAAAATTTGATGTAGATTTGTTGCTCTACTTGCTCAGTCATTTTGAATGCAATGGCCACACAGTACACAGGCTCACTCAATGGCTTCTAGGGCCCCCACTGGCTAGAACAGTAAAGTCATCATTGTTTACACATGCACGTTCCAGTCCACTCTCTTTGGTTGCCAGGTTACATCAATGTCACACAAACTGTTATATTAACAATGGCTGAACTGTTTCCAGACAGACCTCATCTGCTTTCTTATATTTATACCTTGGATCCCCCATTGCTCTAGGTGTCCTCTTCATTCAATATCTCCACTGAAAGAGTCAAGGTAATTAACTCTAATTGCAGTAACAAACCTCTCTCAAAATCTCAGTGCACAACAGAATACAAGCTTATTTCTCACTCATAGCATAGTTAAATATAGTGGGGCAGTTCTCCTCCAAGCAGTGACTCAGGTATCCAAAATTCTTTTCCAACTTGAGGCACTGCAACCTTAAACATATAGTTTACAATGTTAACTCGGAGGAGGAAGAGGGTGAGGACAATTGCATAAGGTTGGAAGTGCCATGCATCACCCCATTGGTCAGAACCCAGTCATATAGCCTCAACCTAAATGCAAAGGAGAAGGGAAAATGTAGTCTTCCTGTGTGTCCAGGAAAAGGAACTAGGATTGGGAAACATTAGCCAGATTCTGATACATCTTCCATATCAATTAGTGTTCTCATAAGAAACAGATGGCACACCTAGCTGGGATTTTTAATTTTTTAAATACAATTTTATTTATGCTATTATGGCTGTCCCAATTTTCCCCTTTGACCCACTCCACCTGATACCCCATTTGCTCCAGCAATCCCCCCAACCCCGACTTAGTCCATGGATCATGCGTATAAGTTCTTTGGCTACTCTATTACCTATACTGTTCTTAACAGTTCTTAACATCCCCCTATTTTGTACCTACCAATTTGTGCTTCTTTATCCTTGTACCTTTCCCGTCCATTTTTCTCCTCCCCCTCCCAGCTGATAATCCTCCAAATGATCTCCATTTCTATGATTCTGTTCCTGTTCTGCTTGTTTGCTTAGTTCGTTATTTGGATTCAGTTATTGATAGTTGTGAATGTATTGTCATTTTAATGTTCATCATTTTGATCTTCTTCTTTTTCTTACATAATTCTCTTTAGCATTTCATATAATAATGGTTTGGTGATGATGAACTCCTCTAGTTTTACCTTGTCTGGGAAGTTTTGTCTGGGAAGGTAAAACTTCCCAGACATTCCATTCTTTACTTTATCTGCCATTCCATTCTAAATGATAGCTTTGCTGGATAGAGTAATCCAGGTTGTAGGTTCTTGTTTTTCATCACTTTGAATACTTCTTGCCAGTCCCTTCTTGCCTGCAAAGTTTCTTTTGAGAAGTCAGCTGACAGTCTTAAGGGAACTCCTTTGTGGGTAACTCTCTGCTTTTCTCTTGCTGCTTTTAAGATTCTCTCTTTGTTTTTAAACTTCGGCATTTTAATTATGATGTGTCTTGGTGTGGTCCTCTTTGCATCCATCTTTTTTGGGACTCTGTGCTTCCTGGACTTGCGTGTCTATTTCCTTCACCAAATTAGGGAAGTTTTCTTTCATTATTTTTTCAAATAAGTTTTTAATTTCTTGCTCTTCCTCTTTTCCTTATGGCACCCCTATGATTTGGATGTTGGTATGTTTAAAGCTGTCCCAGAGATTCCTAAGCCTATATTTGGTTTGTTTTTTTTAAATTAGTTTTCTTCCTGCTGTTCTGATTGAATGCTTTTCCCTTCCTTGTGTTCCAAATCATTTATCTGATTCTTGGCTTCATCCACTCCACTGTTGGTTCCCTGTAGATTTTTCTTTATTTCATTTAATGCATCCTTCATTTCTGCCTGGGTCAGAAATGCCATGCATCACCCCATTGGTGATGCCACTGAAGTAACCGATGCCACTGAAGTAACCGATGAGTTCCTGGAGCATCCTGATAACCAGTGTTTTGAACTGTGCATCTGATAGGTTGCTTATCTCCATTTCATTTCATTCTTTTTTTTGGAACTTTGTTCTGTTTTTTCGTTTGGGCCATGTTTCTTTGTCTCCTGAACTTGGTAGCCTCCCTGTGTTTGTTTCTATATATTAGGTAGAGCTGCTTTGATTCCCTTAGTGCATCTGCTAAGTTTTATGAGGTGGAGCCTTAGGTGATCGCCAGGGTGGGGCAACCTGTGTCATCACTCTGTTGCTCTATGTGGCGGAGGGCTCACACAGGTGACAATGCTGATGCCTGGCCTCTGGAGTTTTGCCCAGGAGGAAGCTCTGTCACTACTCACACTTCACTTTCTCCCCATATGCCACCAATGCCCTTCCACCTGTTCACATGGTACTGAATCCTAGAGGGGGTGGGTCTACATGAGTCCTAAATCTGATGTTGGCACTTTAAGAGAACACAGTTTCTTCTGCCACCCCAATCCCCAGTGATTTTTATTGCCAGAAGTTAGCAGGGTTTACCTTTCTGGTGCTGGGATCCTGGGCTGGGTGCTCTGGACTGGGGGCTGGGATCCCTCATTCCTGAGGTATTCCTCCCACTTTTTATCCACCACATGTAGATGTGGGACTGCCACTCTTGTCTTCTTGCCTCTCCATGCCTCTCAGCATCTCTGCCTCTCCTACCCATCTGGATGAATGTGGCTTCTTTAAATCCTTGTTGGACTTCCACACAGCTTGATTTCCTGACAGTTTTGGGTGAAATTTGTCTTGTAGTCTAGTTGTATTTTTTGCTATAGTTGTGTGTGGAGGCGAGGCATGTTTACCTACGACTCCATCTTGATTGGTAGTCGGATTTTG